TCTCTGAGGACAGAGTGCTGTGTTCTGGGCCCAAACTTCCCCAACCAAAGACCTTAGAGGAACCCAACGCCTCAACCTGCCTGAAGGCCAGGGGTGTGGGGCGACTCTGATGACCTCTAGGTAACCAAGGCGGCCATGCCAGCCTTGACCCAAGAGCTCTGTGTCAGCCCCCTTCAGTGCACACCTGCAGGGGCTGCCTCTGGGAACAGCGGCCCAGCAGGCACTTGGACCCGTGGACAGTGGCTTCCTTTGAAAAGGAACCGCAACAAGCAGCCAGTCCTAGGCTGAGAGCCTACAGTCACTCCCGGAGGTGAGGGCTTCGGGGTGGGGTGGGCCAGCCCCGGGGCGCAGGAGGCAGGGTCATCCAGGGCCTATGGTCTCTGGGAGAAGGACACAGGGTGTCGGGCAGCGAGGGGCCATCTGGGCAGGGGGCACACGCTGGACAGGCAGGGCTCATGGTTGGGGTTGCCCTGGGATGGGCTAAGGTAGTTCCCAGAAATGGAATCAAGGCAGGGGGAGCAATGGCAAACCCAAGGTGTGACAGGCCCAAGGGTACCGAGCTGAGAGTGATGGGGGGGAGAGCGGGGATCAGCAGGGAAATAACAGGTAGAGGGTGCCAGAGACCAGTGGCTGTGGGACGGGAGGTCTGAGGGGACTCTAGGAACAGGTGTCAGTGACAGTGCCAGGAGGACCCCGGCCCACTTGCTGCATCTGAGGAGGTGGGCACGGAGGGTGTGGCCCGGTTCAGAGAATTCGAGGAGATGCACAGGGCTTTCCATGTGTCCCTGTGTCCCAGGCACTGGTGCCAGTGGATGGGGGTGGGAGCATGTCCAGAGCCCACAGGGCTGAGGGTCTCAGGGGTAATAAGGGCTGAGTGAACCCTAAAACCCATTTCAGAGGGCTGACAACATGGAGTCCCAGACCCCACATCCAGGGGCTGAGAGAATTCAGGGGACAATGAACCCTACGTGTGTGGGGGCTGACAGGGCCTGAGGAAACCCTCATCGAGCCCACGAACCCCCAGTTCTGTATCCAGGACTGAAAAGGCCCCAGGTGAACCCAACCCCTGTGTCCTGGGCTGATGAGGGCCCAGATCACCTGACCCCTTTGTCCTGGCCTGAGGCCCCCGGCTGACCCTGACCCCTGTGTCCTGGGTTGACAGGGGCTCAGGTCACCTGGACCTCTGTCCGGGGCTGACAAGGCCCCAGGTGAACCCAACCCCTTTGTCCTGGCCTCTGTCCAGGGCTGACAAGGCCCTAGGTCACCCTGACCCCCTTGTCCCGGCCTGATGAGGCCCCAGGTTGACCCCGTGTCCTGGGTTGATGAGGCACCAGGTGGCTTGACGCCTGTGTCCTGGCCTGATGCGGGCTCAGGTCACCTGAACCTCTGTGTCCAGGGCAGACAAGGCCCCAGGTGAACCCAACCCCTTTGTCCTGGCCTGATGAGGCCCCAGGTTGACCCTGACCCTTGTGTCCTGGGTTGATGAGGCCCCAGGTGACGTGACCCCTGTCTCCAGGGTGGACAAGGCCCCAGGTCACCTGACCCCCCCCCTTGTCCTGGGCTGATGAGGCCCCAAGTAATCCTGACCCCTGGTCCTGGGCTGACCCCGCCCCCGTCCCCGTCCCGGTCCCTCTACCCAGCGTCCTGGGCTGACCTGGCTGGGCCCCCACTCACCTCTGGCGCTGCCCGTCCAGGCCGAGGCCTGTGGGCGCCTGCGTGGGGCTGAGCAGGCCCTGGGGCGCGGGGGTCCTGGCGGGCAGCCCGGGCAGGCCGGCGGGGGGCTCCGGCGGCGGCGGCGCTGGTGGTTCGCGGGCCTCGGCGGGCGGCGGCGGGGGCTTCTCTCCGCCCGGGCCCAGGCTCGGGGGCCGCCCGTCCAGGGAGATGTTGTTGAGGAAGAAGAGCGCGGCCTGGCGGCGCCGCGAGTCCCCGCGCCTCCGCAGCGCCTGCGGCGGGGCCCGAGCGGCCGAAGTCGGCGCAGCGGGAGGCGGGGGCCCGGCGGAGCCGGGGGCTGGGCCCGGGGCTCCACCGGCCGCGGCCGCGGCCATCCTCAGACTGCGCCCGCTGCCGCGAAGCGCCCCGCCCCCTGCCCGCGCGCCCGCGCGCCCGCCCCCCATTGGCCGCGGCGCGCCCACATGCAAATATGTCTCCGTCGCCCTCGCCTATTGGTCAGCGATGTGCCGCGCTCGGGGCGCTCCCCTGGGTCCTAGAGACCGTCGGGCGCGGCCGCAGGGAGTCGGGAGCTGCGCGCCTTCCCGCCGGTTCGAGTCCCCGTCTTGGGAGCTGCGGCCGCGGGACTCTGGCCTTCTGTCCCCTTTGCTGTACGGCGGCTTTCACGGTCAGCCTTCATCGAACGCGCATTTTAAGGCTCCGGACCCAGGGCAGCGTGGGTGAGGCCCAGCACACTTCCCTGTTCGGAGGTGTGTCTGGGCGGTGCTTCAGCAGGCGCAGGGTGGCCCCTCGAGGAGCCCCACCGCTTCCCGGAAGGGCCGGCGTTCCACCTGGCCTCCTTCATTGACAGAAGGGACTGAGGGTCTGAGTGGAGAAGGCACCTGCTTGTGATTGAAGCCCAGGCAGAGTCCTGCACTTCCTGCAGTAGCAAAGTGACCTTGAGCCTGGCTTGTGCCCACGCCTTTTTCTGTCCCCGGGTGTCCCTGACTTCAGAACCTGCGAGCCGGTGCCGCCGAGATGCTCAGGGCCTGCCTCTGGAGCCCGGGAGCCTGTCTGCGGTCTGGAGGGGAACCCACTGTATCTTTGTGGAGGGACTCAGGGCCTTGCACCCACCTCTGTGCCACCTGCCTGCTCTGTCCAGCTTTCTTTCGTGGGTTTACTTATCTTTAAAGAGGGACAGTGATTTCAGCCTCAGGGTGTTGTCAGGATGAAACTGGCTCAGTGAGGGGATCGGGCTGTGGCTGGAGGCCAGACACATGCAGTGGTCAGCCCGCAAATGCACTGCAGTACCCCCGCACCTGCCGGCATGCGCCCAGCCTCTCCTGTGCTGGGTGCTGGGGACCCGGTGGGACCGACAGGCACTGCGCTGGCCCTAGGAGCACCTGGTGTGTGGGGAGGCAGCATGATGGTCAACAAGACAGTGGGTGAGTGCACAAGGCAGGGTCTTCATCACCACCCCTAGCATGGGCCCCTGCCCTTCAGGCCCCTCCCCACCTCCCACCTGCCCTGCTCCCTCCTGTGGGCCTTCACAGGCCACCACTGGGGCTCACGCAGCACACAGCACCTCTGCTTCCTTTCCCTCTGCGCTTCCAAGTTGGCCTCCAAGGCCTATGCCAGCCCTAGGGGAAGGTGGGCAGCTGTCCTGTCTGGAAGAATGTGGGGCTGGGTGGCTCGGCGGAGGGGCGGCTGCGGATTGTGGATCCACAGAATGCGCTGCTGACTGTATGTGCCTGGGGGGTCCCGTGAGCGGGGAGTGAGTGCGACCAACAGTGTAAGGTGCTGAGGCTGGGGCAGGCACACAGTGGGCCCTCCATCCCTGCTGGCTGTCACCAGGAGGAGGGGCCTGACAGCAGTGGGTGGGTCATACACCAGCGGCTTGCAGAGAATCTGGTGTCAGATGAGAACAGAAAGGGGCAAGTGAGGGTGGAGGTCAGGAGGCAGGAGGCAGCTGTCCATGCTGGCTGCAGCGCCAGGCCCTGGCGATTGGCTGTGCTGAACTTTGAGGGACCAGAAGGAATGCTGAGGCAGGAAAGGGGTCTCTTCCTGGGTCTGCTGAACCCCCTTGCTAGGCTCCCACTGCCAGGCTTCTCCCCTCCCCAGGGTGTCGATGGGTGGCCAGAAGCCAACCTGGCCTGCAGGTGGTGCGTAGGGAACACACGGCTTTTGTTTCATGTGATTCTGGAGAAATTAAAGCAACCTTTAACACACCTGGGCTTCCCTCTTGGTAATTCAGTGCCTCTGGCCTCTCAGGCCAACAGGCAGACAAGCCACCAACAGGCAGACAAGCCACAGGCTGCAGGTGGAAGGCAGTGCCCCTGAGCCAGGCCCGCACGCCACTGTGGCCCAGGCTTCACCCAGCCCAGTTGTTGGCCTGCGTCCTGCCATCCCTGTGACGCGTGGTTTTAAACGCCCAGCTCACCTTGGTGCTGTGGCTGCAGAGGGTCCTGCTGATGAGTTTCACTCCTGATTTTCCTTGGCTCTCAGCCTGAACTCTGAGCAGGTGTCAAGCGCGTTGCTCTGTCTGGATGTCCCCGACTGCAGGCCTGGCCCTCGGGCTGACTTCCTAGTTTCCCCCTTGACCTGACACCCCTCCGTGGCCCCCACCTTTCCTTTCTGCCTGATCCTTGTCCATTTTTCTAGAGTTGGGGTTTCAGCAAACTTCCCAGAACATCCTAGCCCCTTGCCTACTCAGCACACTCCTGTTCATGCCTCAGAACCCACATTCGGGTTGCAGGTGCCACCTGCCTTGACCTCCCAGGGACACCTGCTCTCCTCCCCGTTCCCCAACACTGGCCATGACTTGGTGCCATTGCTCCTTTGCCCACCACTCCCTGATGCCCAGCGGAGGTGTCAGTGCCCATTGTCTCTGCCCTGGAAAGGGCAATTCTCAAACTTCACATTTAGGAGAATTATCCCTGGGAGCTTCTTAAAACACAGACTCCAGGCCCACCGCCAAGGTCCTGGTTCAGTGGATCCAGGGTTGGGCCCAGGAATCTGTTTCTTAAGCTCCTCCCATGAAGCTGGGAGGTACTGATACCCATCCTCCCTGGAGGAGCAGACAGCCCTGAGTGCTCCCGGTGGAGTCCTGGCAAGCTGCCCTGTGGCTACCAGGCCAGGGACTAGTGAGGAAGGGCAGGTGCACACGCCTGCTGCCGTTGCCAGGCACTTCCCTGAGGGTGCCGTGGTCCCTTCCCGCTGCGGACTCTGCAGAGGAGCTGGTTTCATTCTGCCCTCCCGCAAGGGGGTGACCTCCCAGTCCCTGGCACAGTCAGGGGTGTCCTGGGGCCCGGGCGGGTGGAGGCCCAGTTGAACTCGGCCCTGCCAGACACACGCATGATTCTTCAGGTGTTTATTCTCCATCACTCAGGGGACCCCGTCTGCGAGGGTGCTGCTGCCCACTGCCTCCCTCCACCCTCACTGCCAGACATCTGTTTGCCGGGAGCCCACGAGGGGGCGTCCAAGACTGTGCTCGGAGCTTGGTGGGCAGGGGTGCGGGTCCGAGTGGTCCGTTGCCTCCCAGAGCATGGGCACTGCGTGGGAAGGGCTGCAGTGCACAGCAGTGGTGGGGCTGGGCTGGAGCCTGAGTGATCCTGCCTCCAGTCCCCACACCCCCCAGGGAGCAGGTGCTGGGCTGTGGGAGGGGCCACAGTGCATTTCCCAGGTGGGTGGAGACAGGGTGAATCGCCAGCTTGAGACCCCTCTTGGTCCTCCAGCCCTTCTTGAAGTGGGCCAGGATGTGCCCACCACTGGCTGTGTGGGGCTGCCTGCTGGTTGGGTGGTGTGGCCTCTCCAGGCCCTGGTGGGCAGGTGGAGGGCCGCCCTGGGCTTGCTGTGGACCCTGGTGCAGGCTGGCTAGGTCTCCTCCCAGGGGCTGCTGTTGGGGGAGGGACAGTCGTCCTTGGCGTCCCTTGGGCTCCTGGGGCCCTCAGTGGCTGTCAGTTTCTTTCTCCCTCTGGATGGCTTTTTGGAGGCTATGGGAAGTGGTTGGAGGTCAGGCCGGAGCTGCGTGCCTTCCTTTGAGGCAACACTGGCTCTCACCTAGGGCCTCCTGGGTCTCCTCTGGGCGTGGGGAGCTGGGTGCTTGGGGAAGTTTACTGACCACCCTTGTTCCTACAGAAACCAGTGCCCAGAGCAGGAGTAGCCTGACCCTGAGAACTGGGTGGAGGGTGGACACTCTCCCCATTGTGTGACCCCGAAGACGGCGCTGACCCCAGTGGCCCCCTTGCTACCTTGGAGGGAACCAGGCCATAGTGGCCAGCCTGAAACTGGCTGCGGGCCTCAGCGGTCCTGCCCCCGGGCTGGGGCTGCAGGGGAGGGGAGCCTGGTCCCCGAGACGGTCCGGGGATGGGGATCCTGCCGAGATGCTGGGCTCAGGCCGTCTCTGGGGCACAGTGAGCTCAGGCTCTGAGGTAAATGGGTCACGTTTGGATCCTGACCCAGCTCCCAGACCTGTGACTTTGGGCAAGTGACCTCTCCCCTCTCAGCCTGCATTTCTGCACCAGCCAAACCGTGATGATCCCACCTGCTGGGCAGGGTCATGAGGCTCACAGGCAGCCACAGCTGCACCCCCTCTCCCGGGGCGCCAGGCACGAGGACACTGGCTTTGGCGCTGAGCTGTGCCCATGCTGGGCAGGGACCTGCTCTCACTGACCGCCATGTCTGTTTCTCAGGAACCCCTGCCAGCGTCCCTGGCCCCGGCTCAGCTAGGAGCACAAGGGGGTGCTGGCTCACAGACTGCACCCCCCGGGGCCATGTCCACCCACTCAGCAGGAAGTGCCTCGAATAAGGGCTGTGCTCGTCTTCACTGCCGCTCTGGGCAGACGCAGGCCGCGGCCGCCTGCCAGCAACAGTGGCACATAATGGCAGCACCACCCTGCCTGCTGCCTGTGGGCCCTGCCCGGACAAACACCAGGGCCGTATGATTAGGTGTTCAAAGTCTCTCATGGGCTCCTGGACCCCAGCTGGAGCTGCCATTGAGCCCAGAGCAGGAAGTGAAAAGTTGTCCTAATACCCTCGGACCAGGGCCGAGGCTCCTGCCAGCCTTGCTGGGAGGAGCTGGGCCCAAGGACACTGCCCTTGGCAAACACTGGAGCCATCCGCAGTTCCCCAGGGGAGCAAATGTGCCCCATGTCCCTTGGAGCTGTGCCCTCTGCGCTGCCCCCATCTGCAGGTGGACAAGAGAGATCTGCTCCTCATGTCAGTGGCTTATCCTGTGCGCCAGGACGCCCTTCCTCCCAGGACGATGGTGGGGACAATGACCACCCCCTGGCTCCTTCTCTCCCTGAAATCTCCTACGATCCCCAATGTCAGCCCCCTTACAGGCCAGGAGACTGGGGCTCAGATTGGGAAGGACCTGACACCAGGCTACAGCGTCAGAGGCTACACAGGAAGGACTCACTCTGGCTGCCCCTGCCCTCCTCTGTGGGGTTCATTTGGGGAGGGTTGAGGTTCATTTTTGGCTCCATCATTCTGAGGCTACCATTCTCCAGGCAGCCAGGAGGGGATGTGGCTACCCTTGCCCCGCCCCTCTGCACCTGCCCCATGCTGGCTGTACCTTTGTCCCCGGGCTCCGAGGCCTGCTTCCTCTTCCGTGGCAGACCCGGCCCGTGCTCCTGGGCGCAGATACACCCGGGCCCCTCCCCAGTCGTGCTCTGGTCCGCCTGGGGAGAAGGGGGTGTGGTCAGGAGGAGGAGCACCTCCCGGCCTGGCCCTGTGGAGTGTGTGACCTGGACCCACCTCGCTGCCTGGGGTGTCTGTCTCATCCAGTTCATTGGACTCTGGTCTCAGCACTTCAGCCTTGCTGGGCTCTGAAGGAAGCAGGGTGTAGGATCAGGCCAGGCTGGTGGCCCCAGGAGTCGCCCAAGCCTGCCAGACTAGGATGGGTGGAGACAACTCTGCAGATGGGGAAACTGAGGCACAGAAGGCCAAGTGACCTGCCCCAGGGCACCTGCTGACAGGAGGCAGACTGGGGTTTGGGCTCAGGCCCAGTGTCCCCATCAGCTGGGGTGCCTGCCCCTGGCTTGGATGCTGTGTGATGGGGTACTCAGCCTGCTTGCCAACCCTAATTGCTAAGGTGCTTTTCCCCCTCACTGAGTGTGGTTAGAGAGGCTCCTGCCAGGCCCTCAGCTTCCTCCAGTGGCTGCAGGTGGAAAAGCCAAGCCCTGGGGCCTGGAGTTGCCCCGTCAGGTCGGCAGGGCAGAGCTGGGCCTGGAGACACCTCTTCCCGGTGGTCACTGACCACCACCCTCTCTCCCCATGGGGAAAACACCTCCCAGCTGGACTCTGACCCAGGTGCTCAGTGTACCTGAGTGGCCGTCCAGGTCGGGCAGCTGTGGGTGGGGAGCTGGCAGAGGCCTCCCTGTGTCTTCATCTCCTGTCCTGCCTGGAGAGGACAGGCTGAGCTGGGACCCTGGAAGTGGGCGTGAGGGGTCCTGGGGGGAGGCAAGCAGGTGGCTGGAGTTTATTTGGGAGACTTCCCTGCCCCCAGCTCAGCCCTGGATGGCCGGTGGGACCCCTCTTGAGGCTGCAGCTGGTGGGGGGGCCCGCCTTTCCCTTTCTAGCATGGATGAGGCAGCCTTGCTTTCTCCCTGGGAACCAACTTGGTGGGCAGAGGGAAGAGAGCAGCCCGAGGTCCGGCTGGAGGCTGGCCTGGGATGGGGGATGTGGAGGCTGAGGACAGGGTCTGAGCCAGGGCCGGGCTCCTTACCACGGGAGTGCGAGCCTCCTCCTGCTCTGGTGCTCTGGTCCCCTTGGTGCCATTGCTGAGTGCCTGGGGACTGCGAGTCAGGGGTCCAGACTGGGTGGGTGGCTCGGGGCTGGGAGTGTGGGCAGTGGCAGGGCTGAGTGACCCATGCTGGCTGGCAGGCTTGGGAGTGTCCTGGCCCCGGGCCCGGCCCCACTCCGAGAGGTCCAGGGGCTTGTCTGGGGCACAGTCCTGCGCTGCTGCAGCCTCCGTCCTCTGGGTGCGGCCTGGGCCTACAGGCTGTGTGTGCCGCCCTCCAGGCAGGCCTGCTGCTGCGGCCAGAGCTGCCCTGGCCCCCTCACTCTCAGGGCCCTCAGAGTCTGAGCCGACTGGTGGGGAGGGCAGCATCTCCCCGGGTGTGGGCTGGCCCCTTGGCCTGACACTGCCTACCCTGGCCCGAGCCCGCAGCTGCTGCTGGGCCAGGAGCAGGTGTAGTGCCCCTTCCAGGCGAAGGTCCTGCATGCCCGCCAGGGCACTGGGCAGCCCCAGCAGTTCTATAGGCTCCTCCCAGGCCTCTGCTTCTCCGGCCTTCAGGTCCTGGAGCCGGGGGTCACGGGGGGCTGCAGCAGGGGCCAGGGGGCTGCTGCGGGGGCTCCGAAGGTGCAGGGAGAGGGGGCGGTTTAGGAGGCAGAGCCGGTCCACCTTCGGGGAGTGCTTCAGGGTCTCATGGGTCATGGCAGAGGGCCGGGAGGCCCGCAGGAAGCTGTGAGGGAGGAGAAGCCCAATGACCATGGCTACGTTGAGCTGTGACCGTCCCAGTGAGCCCTGAGAGGATGAGATGACAGGCACCCACTCCACAGGTGAGGAAACTGAGGTCCAGAGAGGTGGAGCAAGCTGCATGGGTCCCATGGCAGGCAGTGGAGGGAGGGGAGGCTCAGCCCCCGGCTCTGGAGGCCATGCTGTGTGGACCCGGCCAGAGGTGGCCTGTGGTCTGGGCTCCAAGGCAGGGCCAGATGCCGAGGCCTCCGTGTCTTTTTGGCGGGGACATCAGCCCCCTGCTCCTCACCTGGAGGGTCCTAGCCACCTGCCCACCCTCCACACCCTACTTGTTCTCACACAATGTCCCCGTCCCCTGCCCCCACGCCCCACACCTGGCCACTCCGGAGTTGTCCACCTGGGAACTTTGCTCCAGGCTGGGTGCCCAGAAAAAGTCAAGCCAGAGAAGGTCAGAGGCTGTGAGGGATAATCAGAGGGACTGCCCTGGGACCAGGGGTGAGAGAAGAGCTTGTCTGAGGCTGCTCTGGATGGGGGTGGGGCAGGCGGGCACCTGTCCAGAGAGAGGCCTCGCTCATACGCTGGGCTGGGTGGGCTGCTCCTTGCGGGCAGTGGTGGGGGCGTCCCATTGGTGGGGCCACGGTCAGCAGGGCAAGCCTGGGACCCAGGCCGTACCACGGCGATGGTCCCGTGCAGCTGGTTGGAGATGCGCTGGGGGCTCTGTGAGGATGGGTGGGTCAGCCTGGGAAGGGGCATGTGTGGCCTCTGCCGCCTGCCCTGGGCTGCTCCCACTCTGCCCCTGCTCACTGCCGGACCCACCCACTCAGGGCTGCGCCCCCACCCACACCAAATGGAGCGCAGTGGCTCCTGCCCGGGACGAAGGAGGGGCACATTCGGGGTGAGGCGCATGAGAGGCTGGCATACTGCAGGTGCAGCTGTCTCCAGCCTCCTGCCTGCACTGGCCCAGCTGTGCATGGTGGGCTCCAGGTCCCTGCACTTACCATGTCTGGGGCCCACGACTCAGGCAGGGTGGCCCCTGGTGAGATTTTGGCCACTGGAGATGCCCTGTGCCCTGCTGGCTTTTCTGTGGGAGGAGAAGCCAGGGGTGGGAGCTTGGGAGGTGCTCAGAGGGGCGGCGTCTCAGCCCCAGGGGGAGGATCCCTGGTCCTTTGGGGGCCCAGCCTCTCAGCCTTACCCGGTCCCCACAGTACCTTCTCCCTGTAGGCCCGCGCCCTGGTGGTCTTCCTCAGCCTCCTCATGGCCTCCTGGTGGCTTCTCTGTGATGGCCTTCCAGCCACCAGGGGAGGGGAGCAGCAGGGGTGAGGGGGGGTCTGAGGTGCCCTCCTTGGCCAGGGGCTTGGGCCTATCTCTGGAGGGGAGGGAAAGACAGGGAGGGTGAGGGAGAGTAACATCCCAAGAGATGATCGAAAAGCCGGGCCCACTCCTGGGTGACCCCAGGGGACGCAGCGGTCCCGACACTGCCTGAGAGCCCTCCATGGGTGGTTCCCCCAGGGACGTGTGCCGAGTGCTGCTCAGGGGCTGCTGGGCAATGGGGTGTCTGAGCCCTGGGACTCCTTCTCACTCACCCCAGGCCCCGAAGCCGCTTCACCTCCTCCTTCAAGGTCTCGTTCTCTTCCTTCAGCCCGTTCATCTCATTGGCTGCAAAAGGCACTGATTAGCAAAGCAGGCAGGGGTTGGGGGGGACAGGGGCTAGGGTGGGGTCAACACAGCACCAGGGAAGCCCCTCAGCAGTGCCCCCAGCACGTAGCCCAGGGCCTGGCAGGCAGCAGGTGCGCCGTGGATGCTGCTGCGTGCGTGGCTGATTGGATGCCGCTGAATGAGCCGCGCTGGCCTCGAGGGAAGGGGGCTCGCCCTTGGTCATCAGGAGGGCCACGGGGCCTCAGGACTGCAGGACCTTCCGCATCACAGGAAAAAGGTCACGCCCTGTGGGGGCAGGGATGCCCCCAGCGCAGGGGAGGGAGGCTGTGTTGAGGGAGGGCCACACCAGGGCCAGCTGGAGGCTGTGTGTGTCTGTAGATTGGGTTGTGAGGTTCCCCCAGTGGTGTGGGGCCGATTGCCCTGCCTCCTTTCCCCACCCCCCGACATGGACTGAACAGGCCCTGGGGTTGCTTGGCCCCATGGGAGAGGACTCCAGCTGTCTGGTGGGTGGGGCTTACTGAGGATGAAGATGTGCTGTAGGTTCTGCAGGTGGGAGCTCTGAAACTCCTGCTGCCGCTTCCTGGCCAGCTCCTGGGTGACCAAGCAGCGGTCGCACAGGCCGGCCCGCAGCCTGCAGGGATAGGGACACAGGGAGTCTGAGGGATGGCATGGAAGCCAGAGGGCCTGGGACCCACCACCCCACTGCCAGGAAGTGCCCCTGCCCTTCCTAAACTATTCCGTAGAGCCCCAGGCCTCTTCCCACCCCATGGGCTAGGGGTCCCATGTTTCGCTGAGTTTGGGGAGAAATCTTGAAAATGCAGTTTACTTAAGGCTCTGAGATGTCCTGCAGTGGAGAAACCTTCCTGGTTCAGTTTGTCCTGCACTTTCCCAGACTTGTTCTCCGAGGAGCCCTGTCATCTCCCCCTCCCCTGAGCCCACCGGTCCTGGCCGTGCTGTGAGGTGTCTTCCCAGGCCCACCTGTTTTCCAGCACCCGAAGGTTCTCCTTCAGTGTCTTCTGCTGTTCCCGGAGCTGGTGGTTCTTGGCAAAGAGCTCCTCGATCCTCTGGGCGTCCCTGTGGCGGGAAACAGCTAAGGTGGGGTCCTGTTCCATCCAGGAAGACACATGCTATCCCCACCATCCAGCCTGGGGGGCCAGTGCCATTTGGCACCTGCAGCCTTGGTCTGGGGCTGGATCCTGCTCAGTGCCCCTCACTGTGGGGACTTGCCCTTGAAGTGGGCCCTGTGGGGCAACGCCTAACCCGGCGACCCCCAATCATCTGCACGCCCCTCTGTGACGTCTGTCTTGTCCAAGCACCACTTTAGTGCCATGGTGCAGGCAGAGCCACAGCCAGGTCTATAAGCCCCTCTGTGACATCTGTCTTGTCCACGCACCACTTTAGTGCCATGGTGCAGGCAGAGCCACAGCCAGGTCTATAAGCCCGGAACGCAGGGAGCCTGCCTGCCCGCCAGCGTATGACCAGACATGACCCCAGCTCACCATGAACGTACTGTTGATATTCTGATCATGATCCTGGGGTGGGAGACACCCTGAGTAGAGGGCTTGCCCCGCCCCTGGGAGGCCAACGCACCTGGGTTCAAGTCCTGCTCACCATGTGACCTTGGACAAGTGACTCCCCCCTGCCTCCACACTGAGCCTCAGTTTCCCCTCTGCACCATAGGATGGTGGCACACCAGAGCTTCAGGGGGATGTAATGGCCAGTGTGGCCCTGCGGAGAGGGGCCCTGCTTGGCCTGACTCACCGGCACCTCTCTGAGTTCAGTTCCAGAAGCTTGTTCTGCAGGCCTGGGGGAGTGAGCAGAGGGGCAAGTGGGGGGCGGTCAGGCCCAGCTGCTGCTTTCCCTGCAGCCTCCCCACCACGGGGTCTGGGCAGAGCTGCAATGTGGCACTCTCGTCCCCTGCACCCCCTGGGGGAGCCCTGCCAGGTGGGTCCCTGTCTGTGCCTAGGCCCAGGGCTGCCTGAGACTCGGTGGTCTTGGCCCAGTATCTGTCGCTTCCCCTGGGGTCTCTGCCTCTGGCATCTGTCTGGGGGTGTCTGGGGGTGAGCAAGGACCCCGGTGCTGCAAGTGACCAGCCACCTGTGAAAGGCAGAGGGACCGGAGGGCCACTGTGTGTGTGTGTGTGTGTGTGTATGTGTGTGTGTATGTGTGTGTATATGTGTGTGTGTGTGTGTGTGTGAGATAGCTAGTATTGAAATAAGATGAGCTTTTGGGGCAGACCCCATCAGACCTCCTCCTTGCCATATCTTAGGATCCAGCCTGGGCCTGGCTAACCCCAGCAGCCCCACCTCTCTGGGTTGCCTGGGAGACAGCCAGGTCCTTGGACCTCCAGGTGGGCACGGGTGCTCAGTGGAAAGACCAGGGGAAGGTGCTGGCTCTGGGACTGGACTGGGGGTGGTAGGGGGCTTCGGCCCTGTCCCTGGTGGGGGAAGTGGACAGGGGTGGGGCCTGGGGTGTATCCTAGAAGGAAGAGAAGAGTTGCATCTCAGTGCCTTGACATGTTCTGGATGGGTCCAGAGAGCCATAAGCTCCTGTTTCTGGCAGTGGCTCTCTGTGCTGTGGTGAGCTCAGCAGGCCGGCCAGAGTGGGCTCTTCTTTCTGCCACATGGCCAGCCCCATGGGAGAACAAAGCATGGGCAGCATGTAGCCTGCGGGTGACAGGTGGCCATGAGGTGTTGGTGGCAACCCTTGAAAGTGGCCCTCCCCCTTGGGGCCACACTCTGGGAGGCTCGAGGACATCCCAGCTTGAGGTCAGCACTTGCGGGGCCCAGGCAGGGTGTCTGTCCACTTTGTCGCTCTGGGTCAGGACTTGGGTCAGGACTCCCCTGCCTGGGCTGAAAAGACAGGGTCCGTCCCCTGACTTGTTGGGAATTGGAGGTGATCATGGGTGCACCCTGGCCTGCCCCGGCCCTTAGGTGAGGGCTGTGGAGACCCCTCCCTAGCCCGGCATCTGTCCCTGGCCCCTCACCCAGGACTTCCTTCTCGTGGATCTCCTTCAGCCTGTTCAGTGACTCCATGAAGCTCTCCATGGCTCCCTGTGGCCCTGGCCCGGGCCCCTCTACGCGGGGGTTGTGGAGATGCTTGCAGCCTCTACAGCCCCTCGGTGTCCATCCTGAAGAGGAGGAAGAGGGGACAGGATCTGCTCAGGAAGTGCTTGTGGGCTGTGGAGTCCAGGAGAGGATTGGGACTCCTTGCGTCTATGTGGAGCAGACCCCACGTCCTGTGGTAGGGCCACTCATGGGAGGTAGGCTGGAGGCTCCGGAACCCCACGGGCAGGCGCAGAGATAGTACATTGTGTGGCTTCCTCCCACACATATGTGGATGGGGGCCAGAGGGCAGGGCGCTGGCTGCTGTGTGGGAGGGGATGGAGGGGCCAGGGGGCATCCAGGGGTGAGTGCCGGCCCCTCTGAGCTGCCCCGTCCTCCCCAGGTATCCGGCCCATCAGTGCCTGGCCTGGCCCCACATAAGCCCTGCCCCTGACCTCAATGGAGGGACAGGGAAGCCTGGTGAGAGCTGGATGGTGCCAGTGGCACCTGCCCAGATGTGATGCTGGGAGTCAGACCTCACCAGCGAGTCCCTCAGACCTGACCATGCCACTGTACACACTCCAGCCCCAACACTACGGTCACAGCGGCTCCTTCCCTTTCACCGGAGCCCTTGTACTCAGTTCCCTCCTGGGATCTCTGCCCCCCTCCAACGCTGTGGCAGCTTCAGTCTTGTCACATAGGCACACACATACACACACACACACAGATAGCATGTACACACAACACACATGCACACACATACACACACACAGATAGCATTACACACAACACACATGCACACACATACACATACACACACAGCATGTACACACAACACACATGCACACACATACACACACAGATAGCATGTACACACAACACACATGCACACACATACACATACACACAGATAGCATGTACACACAACACACATGCACACACCTACACACACACAGATAGCATGTCCACACAACACACATGCACACACCTACACATACACACATAGATAGCATGTACACACAACACACATGCACACACATACACATACACACACAGATAGCATGTACACACAACACACATGCACACACATACACACACAGATAATATACACACAACACATACACACACACTACACACAGATACTTAATAACACACACAACACATACACACACATACACACACACACAGATACTTGTGCACATACACATGCACACACATACACATACACACACAGATGGCATGTACACACAACACACACACACACATACCACCATACACACACACAGATACTTGTCTTTTTAAACACATGCACACACATACACATACACACACATTGGCATGCACACAACACACATGCACACACATACACACACACAGATAAGCATATACACACAACACACATACACACAACACACATACACACACATACACACACAGATAGCATGTACACACAACACACATGCACACACATACACATACACACACAGATAGCATGTACACACAACACACATGCACACACATGCAAAAGACACACAGAGCATGTACACACACAGCACACATGCACCGACAGACATGCACACACACAAAGCATGTATACACACAACACACATGCACACACCTACAGACACACACATACAACACATATGTACACAGAGGTGCCCACACACAACACACAGAGATACATAGACATGGTTACGTGCTGACACAAATCTGTGCAGACATAGAGACACGGCTACACATGCAGTTGCAGGTACACAGAAACACACACAGCCACAGCAGCCCCCTCTACCCAGAAGCAGCTCCCACACACAGAGGCTGGAGGGTTCCGGGAAGGGGTAGGAGCCACTACCTACTCCTGGCATCTCAGTGCCTTGACGTGTTCTGGATGCAAGTGTGCATGTGTGTGTGCCATGTGTGTGCACGCCTGAATGAGTGTGCATGTGTGTGCCGTGTGTGCACGCCCGAATGAGTGTGCATGTGTGTGCCGTGTGTGCACGCCCGAATGAGTGTGCATGTGTGTGCCGTGTGTATGATAGCCAGTGTGCATGTATGTGTTCCGTGTGTGTGCACACCCGAACGAGTGTGCATGTGTGCATGCTGTGTGTGTGCATGCCTGAGCCAGTGTGCGTGTGTGTGTGTGTGTGCTGTGTGTTCACGCCCGAGCTGGTGTGCATGTGTTTTTGCCCTGTGTGTGTGTGCTGTGTGTGTGCACGCCCAACCTACTGTGGAACCACTGGTGCATCACCTGAACAACTGTGTCGGCCTCCTCCCTGCCTGGCCTCCCCCTCAACCTCCCCTGAACCCCCTGCCTCCCCGCATCTCCTCCAGAACCACTCTCCAGGGTGACCATCCCTGGGAAGCTCTGGTCTCTGCTCAGATGTGCACTACTCTGCTCAAAATCCAACTTTGGGCTTGTGGCTGGAGGCCATACCCAAGGCCTCGCAACGGCCAGCCCAGCCCAAGTGGACCACAGAGGGGAGCAGCCATGGCTGCAGCTGGGTTTTCAAAGGTCAGCCTGCAGACGCCCACATGAGGGTCCTCTCCGCAGCAGCATTCTACAGAACCGTCCCAAATGGGACCCCCAAACCCCATCCCATGATGGGTGGAATGGCGGCCACCCAGCCCCACACCTATCCCAGCGTGGCGGCCACCCAGCCCCATGCCCATCCCAGTGTGGCGGCCACCCGGACCCACGCCCATCCCAGCGTGGCCAAACCACCCGAGACAGACTTGAGGGTGCATTGAACACAGAAAGAGGCACTTGCCCTGGGGCCCTGGAAGTTGGGTGGTGGGTGTCTTTGGGGCTGAGGCTGGGGGTGCCTGTGACTCAGGGTGGCAGGCCTTGGGACCCCGAGAGAAGTCACGGGGCCTGGGGTGGGGATGGTGACTGGAGCCACTTGGAAGGAGACTCTCCTAATTCCCGCCGAGCCCTTGCACCTGCGGTCAAGCGTGTTAGTGCTGAGCCTGGTGGGGCAGCGAGGGGTGTGGTACAGAGTGTGGCCCCTGTTTGGGGGTGGCCACAGCGTCCCCAGGGGCCCCTGACAGGGCTGGTGGGGCTGCATGGAGGGCGGAGCATCAGGATGCTGGGCTCCAGCGACTCAGTCCACAGACCCGCCTGGGCTTTGGGACCTCAGCCACCCTCGGAGGGAGTGGGGGTGACAGTTGGTGGCTCTGTGTTGGGTGGATTAGGGATCCTGGGACCAGGAAGACTTGGAGCTTTCCTGGTGGGAGGCTGGGAGGGAGCCAGAGCTCCCTGGGAGGGATGTCTTTGCCGGTGAAGGGGGCCAACAGGACGTTGAGCTCCAGAGGTGGGCACAGCATGGAGCCTGCCGGAAGTAGGTCACGTGGCCAGCATCAGTGGTTCTGACCCCCGTTTCCCGAACTCCATACACACGGAGACCTTGCTAACAGCCCATGGAATCTTGGCCACACCACAAAGACCCCGCTCCAGATGGGGAAACTGAGACTCAAACAGCTCAAACCTCCCGTCTCAGTCACCCAGTGGGAAGTGGGATCTGGGTTGTGCCTGGCTCCTGGGGCTGTGGGTCCTGCGTGCTCTGCCTGTGTAGACTGGGGCGTCTTCCCCATGGCTCTGGTGCACCCAGCTGCGCTGGCTTTTCCTGGCCAAGGGGCCCCCGGGAGGAAGATGTCAGAGCCGGGCCTCCCTAGGCTCAAGCAGCTGAGGAGGGCCAGGAGGGGGCTGAGCTGCAGTTCCTGAAATTCCACCTGGACCCGCCCAACAGGCGCTCTTCCCTGGCCCCCAGCACCTGCCATGTGGGCTGGGCCGACGCCCATAAAGGAGCCGCCCAGGGGAGCCCATGGTACCTGTGGGCCTGGGAGAAGTCTGCACAAGAGAGGTGGGCTTCCTTCCCAGTGAAGTCACCGTGCTACAGAGGCCGGGACTGCGCCTCTGCTGTGCTTCCCACTCACAGGATCCTTTCTGTGCCCCAAACCACCTGCAGGCCCTGCCTGGCTGCCACTCTCAAGGCCCCCAAAGGACTGCAGAAAGAGTCCCCATCCCACTGGGCAGGGAACGGCGCAGACACATGCCCGGAGCAGGGCTGGTGGGCGTCTGGAATCGCTGTAGGGTGCACCCTGCTGGGGACCCTTGTTTCCCAGAGGCCCAGAGTTGGGGTGGGCCTGGGCAAGGCCACTGGGCCCGGTGAGTGACAGTGCCTGGGGCTGGGGGGACTTCCCTCAGGGTGAGCAGGTGACAGAGATGCAAAGTGGGCAGGATCAGTCTCCCAGGCTCCGGCGCCTCTGGGACAGCCCCAGTCCCAGCTTCTACCCTCCTAGAGTGCTGGAGAACTCTGGGGAAGGGATGGGAGATGGAGGGAAGTTGCAAGCCCTGATGTTTTTGGGGAGAAGAAATGAACCGGGATTGTAGAAATTCACCCAGACCTGCGCCCGCAGCCTTGTGCCGGGGGTGAGCAGGGGAGTCAGTGGGGCTGACTTTTTCTTCCTGAGTCAGCCTTCTTGGGGTTTGTTGGGCTTGCCAAGGGCAGCTAGAGGTGCTGAGGCCGGAGGAACTCGGAGGGAGGATCTCCTCCAGGCCTGGGTGGGGGCTGCAGTGGGACTGTGATGGGGGAGCAAGCCTGCCAAGGTGGGGAGGAGCTGGGCTGAGACTCTTGGGGGGCTTCACAGGGCTGGGGTGAGACAGGTGGGCTCTAGTCAAGGGTAACCCTCAGCCACTCCTCCCACTCCCAGCCCTCCCACTCTGGGAGTCCAGGCTAGAGGGTCTCTGCGGGTGCTGGGCCCCCTGGAAGGAGTGAGGGCAGGGGAGGGCAGGCTAGCGAGCCGCTGTCCCACCTGGGGCTCACAGCTGGGCCATGGGAGGGACAGGTGTGAGGGGTGCATGGCTGTCCCCCTCGACACCACCCTCACCCCACCCTGCCTTGCCCTCTGCTCCGTTTGCCACTGAGAACACGACCCAGAGTTAGGGTCTTGCCCACGGTCAAAGCTAGTGAGAGCCGGGCTAGGCTTTGGCTAGTCCAGGTCCGCACCGCCGCCTCCTGCGGTGAGGTGCTACTGGTGCCAGCACCTTTGCCTTCCGGGGACTGCTCCTTAAAACCAAGAGGCGACGTGCTGCTCTCACCAGTATGGAACAGAGCCCATCCAATAAACTGGTGCCTCTTATCCCCCAGCCAGGACCCAGGAGAGCCCTCCATTGGGAGCCTAAGGCTGGTAGACCACCTTCCACCTCATGTTCTCACCCAGGGAATGGACATGCACTGTGGGCCCTGCCTGTCCCTCAGGACTCCCACCTCTCTCTGAAAGCCCCCAGAGCCCCCACCTGCCCTCCTAGGGTCTCCACCCGCCCTCCTAGGGCCCTCTGGAGTGGCCACTCAGAGCGTGCAGAGGTTTGCTGTTGTTAATCCAGCCTCACGGGTTCTCAGAGCCCCAGCAGAGAGGGTACACCCCCCACCGCCC